GGAAGGGGACGGGGGCTGGAAGGTGGAAGGGGACGGGGGCTGGAAGGTGGAAGGGGACGGGGGCTGGAAGACTGGTGTCCTTCTCCCATTCCCGTTTTCTCACCTATCAGCTCCGGGGCGGCCGCGGCTCCGGGCAACTTCTCGACGATGAGCTCTTTCAACGCGGAGATCCGAACTCCACCACCGGGGCCCTGCTGCAGACCCTCAGGCAGAGGCAACAGCAACTTCGGGGCCCGCGGCTGCTCGGCCAGTTTAACTGCAATCACCTCCGGCCGCATCTTCCTAACGGAACCTAACCATTAGGCCCGGTTACCATGGAGACGGACCGGAAATGGCGGCGTGTTTGCTGCGTCACCACACCGGAAACCAGCCAAAACAGGGAGATAAAACAAAATAATAAATAAAAATAAATGGGTCTTGATGACTTCCGAGGCAGAGCTTGATATTCTGACGTTTAACAGCTTTTAATGTTATTTCTTGGTGATTTTATTTTGGAACTATAACATCCAGAATGCACCTGTATGAGAGTGCCAACCGCACCTGTAAGGAGTCTCTGCTATTCACACCATCTAGATACACCTTTTCTTTAAGGCAACAAGGTGTAGAGCTGGATGAACACAGCAGGCCAAGCAGCATCAGAGGAGCAGGAAGGCTGATGTTTCGGGCCTAGACCCTTCTTCAGAAAATCTTTTGTTGCCTTATGTTCCCTATCACCTCTCCCTTCGTTTTGTGCACGTTGAGACTTTTTCCGTTTAATCCCTCCTGATCTCCACTCCACCGCATTTGGATCTTCTCTTGTGCATCCTAAACTGGCTTTGAAATCCATTTTGATGAGATTTCTAAATTTTTTCCCCAAATCTGAACAAAGGTCATCAGCCTGAAATGTTAAACAAATAAAAACAGAATTTAAAACAAAACATTGTGGGTGTCACTAATTGGCCAGTATTTGGCACCTATCAGTCAACCATTTGCTGTGGGTCTGGAGTCACATGCAGGCCAGACCAGGTAAGGATGGTAGATTTCCTTCCTTAAAGAGCATTAGGGTTTGTCCTGATAATTGACAATGGCTAGACTTTTAACTCCAAATTTCTATTGCATTCAAATTCCACCATCTGGCATGGCAGGCTTTTGAAGCCAGTCCCCAGGACATTACTTGCGAGTCTAGATTAATAGTCTAGCAATAATACCACTATGCCATCACCTCCCCTGAAATTACTGGAGAAGTCTATCAGGACTGGTAGCATCATGGAGAAAAGCCTGAAACATTTAACTATGTTTATCTCTGTGGATGCTGCAAGACCTTTTTAGTATTTCAAGCGTTTCCTGTCTTTGTTTAGAGATTAATCTCCATTGGGGTGCAAATCTGCACAGAGGTGTTAAAACAGTTGTGTTTTCAATTTAATTTTGGGTCAGGTGATGGGGGAACCTCATTTAATGATATTATTCTCAGAAAAGGTGGGGAGGAGATTTGATCAATACGCTTAAAATCACAGTAATTTTACATACTTTCTAATCAACCTGTTTAGAGATGTTATTAAGTATCTCAGGAGCAGGTGGGACTTGAATGCAGGTACACTAGGACACTCCCATTCTACCTTCAGAGACCCTCAATAAGAGTTGTTGAAAACTGTTTCCATGGCATAAGAATTGAGAAGCAGATGATATCACTTTAAGGTGATTGGAAAAAGAACGAGCGATGAACATGATAGACAGTTTTCTTTTACATGCAGTGAGCAAAATTTACAAGAAGATTCTGAGGGTGAAAGGGTTCATAAATGTGGAAAGACTGTAGAAGCTAGGTCTGTTCGCCTTAGTCTACAGAAGATTACAGGGAGATCTAATAGACGTGTTCAAAGTCATTGGTCTGGCCAGAGTAAATATAAAAAGAAACTATTCCTATTGGTCATGATGTGGAGGTGCCGGTTTTGGACTGGGGTGGACAAAGTCAGAAATAACCTGGTGTTATGTGATTCCTATTGGTGGAAGGTGTATGTACCAGAGGACCCTGATTTGAGATTACTGACAAAAGGAGTGAAGGTGAAAATGAGTAGGAAGTATTTAAGATGTGGAACGTGCTACCTAAGAGGTGGAGGCAGTTCATTGTGAGAAAATATTGGATTATTGTCTTAAAAGGAAGTTTAAGCAAGGCTACCAGAGGAAACATTGGAACTAGATCTGAGATGAAGGGTTTTGTTTGTACTGTATCTGTTCCATACTCTGTGATCATACTTTGCATTAAACATTGAACTATATTAAACAATGAACATATTAAATATTGGATATATTGAACATTTTTCATATTGAGCATATTAAACATTTTTTATTCATTCAGGGATGAGGGTGTTGCTGGCTAGGTGAGAAGTTTTTGCCCATCCCTAATCGTCCAGAAGACTGTTAAGGGACAACGACATTGTTATGGGTCTGGAGTCACATGTAGACCAGACCAGGTAAGGATGGCAGTTTCTTTTCCTAAAGAGGATTAGTGAACCAGATGGGTTTTTCTTGACAATTGACAATGGTTTCAGGGTCACCCACATATTTAACATTGAATATACTAAACATTGAACACCTTGAATATATTTAATACTGATCATATTTCACATCGAACATAGTAAACATATTAAACACATTGAACATATAAAACATATTTGGCATTTTGAACAGGGAACATATTAAACATTAAACACATTGAACATATTTAACACAGCATATTAAACATTCAACGTATCAAACATATTGAATACTCTGCAGACAGACAGTAGGCTGGAAGAACACACGAAGCCAGGCAGCATCTGGAGGAAAGGAGCAGTCAACGTTTTGGGTATTAACCTTCTTCAGGACCAAAATACCTGAAAACTTACTTTCCCTTTCCTACAGAGGCTGCCTGGTTTGGTGTGTTCTTCCAGCCTCCTATGTGTCTACCTCGGATTCCAGCATCTGCAGTTTTTTTTGTCTCTAACAATAATAATTATTTTCTTTTAGCGATAGTGATCAATATCAGGGAGTGGGGGGGGAGGGGGAACCCAAGAAGATTGAGCGGTCACGTGATCAAACTTCCAGCGCTACATTAAATTTAAAAAGGGCAATATTTAAATAATTACAATTATGCTCCTATTTTCAAAATTGAATCTGGAAAAGAACCAAAATAGGTTTGATTTTACAAATAAAGTAAAAGTGCACTTCCGGTGTGAGGACTGACATTGTTTCCTCAAGGTGGGACTGGGGAAGCCGGCGATTCTGGTCGGTGCGGGTGTGCGTGAGTTCCGGTTCCGGCGGGCGGTTGAGAGGTCAGGGGGGTCAGCAGTTCCGGTTCCGGCTATGGCCTATGAGGAGGGTGACAGCCGGAGCTGCGCTGTCCGCGGCTGCACCAACACCCAGAGCGTCCTGAGCCAGTGGAGGGAGGCGACCTGCGAGCAGCACCGGCCGCAGCTTCACCGCGAGTGCCCGTGCCTCGAGCCTTTCTGCTTCTATAGCTTCCCGAGCGGCACCGACGAGCGAGGCCGGTGGGTTCAGGCCCTGCGGGGCCGTGGCCTGAGGTTGGTGTCCGGCCCTGACCCCGGGCCCGAGGCCGCCGTCTGCTCCCTGCATCTAGAGGAAGGGACGCTGCTACTGGGCCTGGGCCTCCGCAAGAAGCCGCGGGCAGAAGTACTGCCGCCCGAGTCTCCGACCTGGGACGAGGCGGCCGAAGACCGGCGGGTCCGGGAGACCCGGGCGTCTAGGGCCCGCAAGAAGCAGCAACAGAGGCACGACGGCCCGAAGCCCTGGCTACCGCCACCGCCTCCTACTGCCAGCGGCTCCTGGGAGCAGGCGGCTGTCCAAGCCATCATGCGGCTCCGCTGCAGCTCCAGCCAGAGGGTGGCCCGGACCCTCATCGCCTGCCTCAAGGGAGAGAACGACCACCTCCGGCAGAGGAGCCGCCAGCTCGAGGCCGCCCTGGAGGCCACGTCCAGGCAACTGGAGCGGCTGCAGCGGGAATGCCGCTGTCGGGAGAGGCCGGGGGCTGAGCCGGGGCCGCCGCTGGAGAGCGCCGAGCCGCTGGAGGCTGTGCCGGGCAACGAGGTGACAGTCGGCTGAGAAGGTTCGAGAACAACTCTCCCCTTCTCCCTAACCCCCCTCACCCTGAGAGAGAAACAGAGACAGTGGGGGCCTCCACACATCTTCTCCTCCCCCCCACAAAAGCCCCGGAGGTGAAGCACCCCATAGCCGCCTTCCTTCTCCCTCTCTTTTCCCTTGCCCATCCTTTACTTCCCCTAACTCGTTCTCTCTCTCCTCCCCTCCCCCATTCTGATCCAGTCCAGTGCATGAACCGTCGCCATCTCCCGCGGCTCCAGGAAACGGGTAGGCACCCTGCGGAGAAAACACAAAAAAACCCACCCAAGGCGTATGGGTGGGAAAGGACTTCTAATTCCCCACTGACTGAGATTGCAAACCTTGGATTGAAGCTGCTTTTCTTATTGTCCCCTTCCCTACCCTCCCCAATCCTGGGAGATACCTCTTCCTCGTTACTGAGGCTGACTGTATTCTCTTCCTAATTATTCCAAAAATCCAGAATTGGAACAGTTCGCTGTTGTAAATCACCAGTTACCTATAGCTTGTGAAGACTGGCTGAGTAGATCATCTGCTTGTAATCAATATTAGACTAGTCTTCCAACCACAGAAGACAAATTTTTGCCTTATTCACGATTTTTCTTGGTGTTGCTCTGGATGATGTTGACTGCATTTCTTTCCCAGGCAGCACGGTGTCAACCCAAGGTGTGAATGAGGGATTTGAATCTTGGCTAATTGATGGTGGCAGAATTTCAGCAATGGATTTTTGGTCATCTGCAAGCAGGTGCAGAATGTGAAGTCTTTCTTTACACTTGAATAGTTCCTGCGGACATGAATGGAACATGCAAAGCCCAGCAGGACAGTTGGATCCTGCTCCTCCACGCTGTCATTAACAGTTTCCTCCAGCTGTTGGCTTCCACGCTACTGCTGGCCTTTCACCTCTGTACAAGTGCATGACTTTAACCAGGAAATCTGAACAGGGTTGTCTCCAGTTGAAAGCTGTAAGATGATTGTGGAGAACAGCAGAATCATAAGGGATGACAATTCCCTCATGCAGCTGAATCCTACAGTGTTGCACGAGTGGACTGGTAATGTACACTGCTTCTTTTAGCTCTGTACCTGTCAGTTTTTGTTGGACTAGAGGTGGTCTTCAGTGTTGGCACTGGGTTGATTTAACATTGCTACCAAAGTGCTTGCGTTGTGCAATATGCATAATTTTCCCTTGATTAATTCCCTTGGCAAGTATTTCTAAGTTTACAGCTCAATGTTCCTTTGGGAATTCCAGTCACAACTAGCAAAAAAAAATCTAGTAGCTCCGAAATAACTGACACTGCCTGGTCGTTTTTTTTTTTAAAAAAAACGCAAAATGATTCGCCCATATGCTCAAGGGAAAGGGAACCTGCTGTTCTACAGGGTCTGGCCTTTGATATTTGCGCTATTTGAAATGGCCTAACAATCATCGAGGCAACCCACTGATCTGTGCAAATAGGGATGGGCAGTAAGTGTGGCCTTGCCAGTGTCACCCTCATCCCAAACCAAAGCATGGAAGAGCAGACTGTGTAGTTCTTTTGTATTATTCATGGTTAAAATTCCACCATCTCAGTGACAACACTGAAACACTTAGTATGTTTATGGCATCGTGCATTGAGAATTTAATCACAATATAATCAATGTAATACACGTTTTAAGTCTTAGCCTGGCAGCAGTTCAAGATTTAAAGATTCGAGTTGTACTGTTTCAGATCTTTACAAACTTCAATACTACTAAAATTAGTAGAAGCAGCACGCTGTCTCGTGTACTGTGGGACCTAGCTGCAAAGGTGTCCTTGTTTACTGTTGGTTAACGGCGAGTGTTATTATATTAGGATATGCATTCAGATTATTCCAATTTGTGTGTATATATTGAATTATACTTCAATCTTACTGAATTGTAAAGCAAGCCACAGCAGACTTAAAATGTTTTGGGTGAAAACTTTGACCCCATTAACATTTACAAAATGTTTGTTCAGTTAACTTCTTTGTCTAAAGACTGTACAGTTTAAAATTTGGTTCGGATTTATGTAAAATTCTGTTCAGATAAATATTTTTTTAAAAGCATCTGTATTAATGTGACACTTCATTAAAAACTTGTGCTGCAATATGTCTTCACTTCATCTCTCCTGCACAGTGCATCTGACATCACGTGCTTTGCATGCGTCTTCCCTCAGGTTAATGGGTTAGGTTCTGAATTTCTCCAGCAAGAACTTTACAAAGCAAGAAAAAGTTTGGACACTTTTAGTTCCAGGAGACTGTTGTTCCAGTTATTGCCCAGAGTGAAGCATGTTGCACAAGAGCAACATTTGGGATGTAATCAATCACAAAAGATTTGGGAGCACGTGCCTCCACCTTTTTGGTTATTTTTCTTCATCACTGCTGCTATCAGATCCTGCAGTTAAGCTACCCCTGATCAACTTTTTTAAAAACTTGATGTGGTTGGAAAGATTAGTGCCAAAGCAGGGGCACTGATTTTTGAAAGGCTGATTTACTCAATCACAAACTTTATTGTTGTTTCCCCTTACTCGGAGTGTTCAGGATATCTCATTACATCTAGAATCTTACAGCATTAACTTGGAGAATTTGCCTTTCTTGCAGATAGGAAAGATATTTGTCCCTTAACTTTCCTCTAGTATTCTTTGGTCTATGAGTATAGCTGCTTAGCCCAGACAGTGTGTAAACCACATTCTCGTGTGCCTCTTCCAATATGGGTCATTATAACTCGTCAGTGGGTAATATGTACAAGTGAGAATCAAATCAAGATTATTCAGTCAATGAATAGGTGCCTCTAGATCAAAGTTTCATCTCTAAAGCATAGCTACAGGCAACCAAGGGATAATCATAAGCATTAATTTTTGAATGCAGTCAATTCAAGTGACTAACCATCAGCATGTGAAAGATTTTTCAAATAAATGTTAAAAATGTCATGCTGTATGATTTACTGGACAATGATTTGTGTTCAAGTGATGCTTGATATTTTTTCCCCCAGACATCAGTACTAAAGACCTCTGCTTCTTGATTACGGACACATTGGCATTAAGATCAGTTGCAAAATTTGCAGGTACCACAGGGTGATGGAACATAAGGCAGATGAAATTCAATGCCCAGTGAGAAAAGCTAAACCACACAATCAAGAGGATTTTTTGATATGTTCTTGGGATATGGCAAGGCCAGCACTTGAAGTCCGTTCCAGTCTCTTTAGAGCTGAATGGCCAGTTAAGAGTCAACCATATTGCCATGGGTCTGGAGGTGCATGTAGCTAGATCAGGCAAGGATGGCAGAATTCACCCCATCTTTGACAAGTGAAAAATTGACAATTTCATGAATAGGACTATAATTTATTAAATTCAAATCCCAGCACCTGTGGCAGGCTTTGAACCAGTGAGTACACTCCATGCCATATGTCCCACAGAAAGAGAGACTTGGTGAGCTGGTCAAATTTTAAAGTCAGGCAGGTTGATAAATAGCTGGGATTTATTAAAAGGTAGGTAGTAGGACAGTCATGCTTAAAACCCTGTTCCCATGAAGGTAGAGAACACATTCACTAAAATAGTTTGAGGGTGAGAGTTACCTGAATAGGTCAGACAAGTTAACTTGTTTTCTTTGCCAGGAAGGCAAGGAAAACGTCTGAGGCATCTAAAATCATGAAGTGATTACATGTTAGTAAAAGGTGAAGCTGCTTCTGATGGTTGTATTTCTAATAACCAGAGGACACAAACCTGAGGAGATTGATTTTTGTTTTTCAGGGAAATTTTTTTTAAAACTGGCTAGGCTTTAGAATGCACTACTGTGTCGGGAACCGAAAACACGAGAAAATGTACAAGGATGTGGGGAAAGTGCAAGTGCAGATTTGATGGGCTGAGAAGCTGCCTCTGTGTTAGACCATAAGTAAGAGGAACAGGAGTAGGCTATTCAGCCTCTCAAGCCTGCTCTGCCCATCCAAAAGGAACATAGCAGATTGGACGTGAGGAACATCATTTACCCAACTGATCAAAAATCTGAGCCTTAAAAAAACAAAAGTACAATGGCCCCAGGCACCTGGGACAAGGAGTTCCAAAGAGAACCCTCAGAAGAAATTCTATGCAATACAAGAACTTGTTCTGTAAACGCATATCTTGCTTTCAGTCCCCATTTGAATAATGTTTCATCTCAGGATTATCAGAAACAGTAAGATGCATTTACCTATCCATTGAAGACAATTTTCAATGTTGAACTGTTGTCTTTTTTTAATAAAACATAACCATTTACATGATTGTAACAGTTGAACGATTACAGAAATCACACCAGATTAGAATTTCAGCTCCCATTTTTAAAATACTGCAATTCACACCACACCTCAGTTTTCAGCCAACAACTCAAAGCAGCAGAACACAAGTTCTGAAATGGCAGGGTGCTGCAGAATAAGTACACTGGTTATTGTAATACAGTAGATCCAGGCTAGATTATATGAATACTGATGGCTTGCATTTTCACAAAGAAACAGAGTCTGTCATCAGCAGTACAGAATACAGAAAGCTATGTGCAGTGTTTGGGTCAGTTGCACGCAAAAATCTTATTGTTTTTCTAAGGCGGCTATGAAAAGGCACCATCTCCAACAACACCACCCCCCCCTCCCCTCCCCCCCCCCCCCATTGGCTTTTTTAAGTTAAAATGAATGGCTTGACAAAATAAGGCAATCTTCCATCTCATTTGGGCTGTGCTATTAATAGAAACACAGGATGTAAAAAGGTGAAAGTCATAAAAATATGTTGCAAAATACTTGCAGCTTTCAACTTTGACAACTTAATAAATTAACCTGCCTTCTGTTTTGTCTTCTTTTTAAGATATATAAAGTATGCATTTCTAGCATTTTGTATTCCAACACCCCCCTCATACTTGGTGTGAAAATTTTTTCAAGACTTGGAACAGCTTGTATTTTCAATTCATTCACGGAGTGCAGTCTCACTGGCTATTCCTAACTGCCCTCAAAGTGGTGGTGAACCCCCTTCCTCAGCCACTGCAGTTTTTGTGGTACAGATATACAGGGCTGTTAGGACATTCCAGGAGTTAACCCAGTGACTGTGAAGGATCAGTGGTATAGTTCTAAGTCAGGCTTGGGAGGTGATGATCCCTGTATCATCTTATCTTCAATTCCATTAGAAATTCCTGTAGTTAGGAAATTAAAATTTTCACATTGGCAGAATATGTTCCAAGTGGCATTGTTTAATTTTAATGCCAGGGAAGCACATTTGTCTAGACCATTCAGCTAAAAGGAACCAAACATTTATAAAAATATATATAGAAGGGTAAGAACAATCTTTGTAAACACTGGTAATTTGGCTAGTTTTGACAAAAGCACATTAATACACTCAGATTCTGTACACCAAAAATAAACCTACTGAGTTTCATTATGTGCTGTTTCTTTTCTAATACTGTTGTCCACATACTAACTCTATAATCAGGCACTTCACTTACAAGTACACTAAATTTGGGTTGCCACCTTTTTCTCATGACCATAGTTTGGATAAGAGTTGGAATGAGATCAGGGAGTGGGATCATCATGACTTAAGTCTTTGCAAGTTATGACATTTATTTGAAAGTTCGAAGATTAGCGAACACTCCTGCATCATAAACAAGAAATAAATATGGGGCCGAAAACTTGTAGTGTCTAGTTTTGCATCTCTGGACAATACAAAGTTCAAGAAGCTTTCCAAAAATTTGGAACAATCCCACCAATTTAAACAGTAGCATTTACAAAAGGGGGAATTTAAGCACCAAATGCTCTATGAAATAAATTCCTCAACAATTTGAACGCAAGTAGTTCAAGCTAAGTATGCACACTTTAAACATAAACAACTTTTATTTAGGGTGCATTTTTATCATAGTAAAACATCCTTAAGTGCTTCATGGCAACATGATCAAACAAAGCTTGACAGAGGTAAATAGGGAGTTATTTGGGCATATGATAAAAGAGGTAGCTTTCAAGGAGTATCTTAAAGAAGGAGAGCAAGGATGGAGGCAGAGAGATTTGGAAGGAAATTCCAAAGTTTAGAATGGAAGCAGTTGAAGCCACAGTGGCTAATGGTAGAATAAAACTAGGAATACTCAAGAGGCCAGATTTGGAGCAGTGCAACTATCTTGGGAGTCTTGTAGGCTGGAGATTACAGAGGTAAGAACGGGCAAGGCCATGGAGGGATTTGAAAACCAGGATGAGAATTTTAAAATTGAGGCATTTCCCAAGTGGAATCAAATGCAGGTCAGGAGACAGTGGGGCAATTGGAGAATGCGGCTCAGCGTAAGCTAGGATGCATAATCTCATTTTTCTCAAGGAAAAATTCGTCAGCCTGCACACAAGTGAACTGCAGTAGTACAGGAAACAAAGGTATGATGATTATATTGTCAGGTGATGAGCTGTGGAAGGTGTGAAATCAGTTGATAACACAGACGTGGAAAAGGCATTCTTCGTGAAGGAATGGACATGTTTTCAGAAGCTCATCTCAGGTCAAATACGGCTCCAAAGTTGCAAGCAGTCTTGTTCAACATCAGTAGCCACGAGATGGAGGTTGGTAAATAGAGTTCTTCTCATATTCAGTTGGTGGAAATTTCAACTCCTGTAATACTGTGGGTCAACAAACACACAAACAAACAGTCTGACAATTTCAAGATGGTAGAGGAGGTCATGAGGTAGGGAGGTGAGGTTTAGCTGTATAGCGTCAGCATACAGGCAGAAATTGATGCCGCTGCTGAAAGACATCATAGAGGTGAGAAATAAGACGTGATCAACAACAGGTCTTTAGGGGATGGGAAAGGTAATAGTGTGAGAACTTGACATCATTGTAAGTGATTCTCTGGCTATCGTTGGATATACATAGATAGACCCAGGTGAATGCAGTTCCATCCAGTTGGAGGATGATGGAGAGGCACTGGAAGAGGACAATATGGGCAACCATGTCAAAGGCCGCAGAGACAGTTCATGAAGGATGAAGACTGATACATTTAGCTTTGGTACATTGGAACGGCGTTTCATCGGGACCTCAACAAGAGCCTTTTTGGCACAGAAAGGACACAATAAGAGTTTCAGATTTACAGTTCTGGTAAAGTTAAACACAGTTTGGGTGGTGACAATGGCATATTAAAGCACTTTGGAGGGGAAAGAGAGGTTAGAAATTAGGCTGTAATTTACAAAACAGGGATCAAGAGCATTTTTTTTTAACATGGAGAAAGAAAGACAATGACAACAGAGGAAAATGGTACCTAAGGAGAGAACACAATTAAAATCCACTAAAATTGGAGCTAAGAGAGGAAGTTAGATGATCAACAGTTTAGTGGGAATAGATTTGGGAAGGAGGTGGGTCTTGAGGACAAGATGAGCTGGAAGAGGCAGAGGGTAGATGAGAGAGAAACTGGAGAAGTAGATGAGTTTGGGCTGGGGTGGAGAGAACTTTAGCTGGCGTTGGGTCTAATGAACAAACGGAAGAGAGGGAAGCACTAGTGGCAGTTGATTGAACAGTCTCAATTTTAATGATTATCTAGTGATATCTCTGAGTTCCTCACACAGGGTGAGGATGGAGAATATTGGAAGATGTAAGAAATGGTTTCCAGAAGAAAAATCCATTCTGTTCCATAACAATCTGGTAATGAATGGCTAAACCAGTTGTCCACCATATCTAAACAAAAGGAAGGGTCTGAGGAAGGGTCACTGGATCCAAAACATTAAACCTGCTGAGCGTTTCCAGCAATTTCTGCTTCTGATTTACAGCATCCGCAGTTCTTCTCGTTTTTGTCCATCATATCCATTCAAATCTGCATCCCTTCAACATAATGAATTGAAAATGAGGGATCCACCAGAACGAGAGGCTAATGGTTTTCACAAGGACAGGGACAACAAAAGCATTAGCAGATTGGTAGCTGCATATAATGGACAGAAGACCAGGCAGTTAGGATTTTG